CCCCCCCCCCCCCCCCCCCCCCCCCTCCCTCTTAATCGCTCGAACCACCAATATTGTGGCTTGTTTAATACGCGATGGTCTACTATATAAGTCCTTGTTATGTTTTTTGAGACGGTTATTTGCTGCTTGCATTTGTTTTTCCTTCTAAATTCCCATAACACACCATTATTGCTAAGACGATATATTATCTAGCATTTATAAAAGGCTATAAGCAATCCGACAGAGCAAAGTCCCCCTATTGCCTAAGATCATGTGATTAAAGAAAAGGTAATTTCACACAGTGACAGGGCTATATAGCAGGCAAGTGTAAATAAGGCAATCGATCTTACTGCCAGTTACCTCATATTGTTTTGCTACTAAAAGAAATTAATATTTGACAATTCGATTTTTACCCTATTGCAACACGTGGTTGTCAACTAATGGCACAAATAAAAGGTGATTAATTACAGCTATGGTAGGCTTAAAGTTGCAATATTATGATGGATGCAAACTTATCGTACGACGAAATAATATTTATATCAAATGGCAGGCGTTCTGATAGTTATCACTAGCCCTTTTGTTGACTTCAGGCTTCACAGAAGGGAAGGAACATCAAAGTGGAAAAAAAGTCGAGGGGGGGGAGGGAAGAGAAGAGCGCTTCAAAGACGAAGGTATAAAAAAGTGAGGTGAGTACTGTGGAAGTAGTTGAAGATGACATACAGTGGGGTCATGGTAGTTTGAAGTCAGAAGTCAACTGCCCATTGATAGACTTTTTTTGCCATATGAGTATACGTTGCCCAGGGTGCACCACGTGGAGGTAAGTCTATTGCACACCCCGTATGACGAAATAATGACGACACAAGATAAAACGCACAGTCGATTATGGTATGAATTAGAAATAAAAGCAAGCCTAAAATCAGCAAGACTAGTTGCAAAACGCAGTCCGAATAATGATTGTTCCAAAACTGTGGACCATAAATAACTATCTGCTTGGTAATATCTATTGCTGTGTCATTAGACTACATGTCTGTTAGAATCTTCACAATACCCAAGAAAGTAATGTAGTGGAACAAAAATTAGTGCCTCCCACTCCTTTCTAGACGTCAACGACACTAAGATAGTAAACACAAAACCAGAGACGGTGAAGCGTCTGCATTCCAGAATCGCTAAATTCCCAGTCCCATTGTAGTTGAGAACAAAAACAAGAAGCATGTTTTGGCGATCGTTTCATAGAGTTTAATAGACTACTGACAAATCAAGAATGACCTAGCAGGGCGTATACAATGCCATTAATATAAAGAGGGGTTTAACACTTCAGTCAGCACCAACGACTGCATTCACCTCGAATTTATCTAAGCGTATAAGTAGTAAATAGGTAAGTAGTACTTTCGTGGAACAAAATGAGGTTACTCAAGGGATCGTCCAATCAAATTGGGACTAGAGGCTAGAAGGAGAGGCACTTAACCACTCTAATTGGGATCAAATAGCCAAAAGATAAGGTGACCATTTTCTCTAAACTCAAAACACAGTTTGGCTTTTAACATCAAATAATCATCAATCATATTCAGCTTTACTCATTCAATGGATTATCACTCATTGAAATATGGCAATGAAGATTTAATGGCAAAAAAAATTATACAATGCCAGTTTAAAATAGTTAATAAGCGGATAGCATGTATTGAGTTCGTATGAAAAACCAAAAAAAACCTTTGATAAACGATGAAATCAAAGAACATTTAAAGAATTTCAAATTAAGTAGGCTTGGAGAATAAAGTGGTGAACTGTTAAGAGTGAGTAGCTACCACAATTTCAAATCACTATAAGCGGTATAGACATTATCTAAGGGTGCTCTAGAGTCGCCTTTATCAATGTAATTGAAGTGGAATTTGTGGCACGTAGAAAACAAAAAAATAAGAACTGAATAAAAGTTGACAAAAAGAATAGACACAGCCAAGTTGGTTTAGTGAACAGAACAGGTGGTAATAAATTAGTTAGTTAGAACTCACAAATATTTGACAATTGGAAAGAAGGATCAATTGAAGATTCCTCTGGATCATATTCATTCTCCAAATCTGGTAAATCTTTTCCGATATTTCCCTCGTACTTCCGAATTTGTCCATAGTAAGACTCGCCAATATTTATTAGAGCACTTATCTTCAATAAAGATGACTGGTGAGGCAGAAAATGAATAAACAAACCTGAAGGCACAATTCACCTTCCAGTAAAAGTGTTTCTTGAGCTACCGAATTCTGATTGGGTAAAAGTGGACAAGCGAGTTCGGTTAAGTCAGCATGGAGCCACTGTTGGTAGATGGCATCTTTGAGTTGACTGAAGTTCATTTCACCACCAGACTGTTCAGAAAGCCAGTCTAGACACGCCTCCAGCCATCCTTCTGGAACTGTAATAGCTTCGCCGTCTAACCAATTCCGAAGAGAATCGATTTCTCTGGCATTCAATGGAGGCTGAATAACGGAAATCAGCACAACATTATGGATACCACTCGATCCGTTTATGGAAAATAATTCCAGATTTCAACCATCCCATACTAACAAATCGAACAATAGTTCAACCCAGTACATAAACCCCGCGTTAAATGAGCTGAACAGCCCCTAATAAAAACATTGAAACGATAAAAGCACAAAAAAGAAAGTTGCATCTTCGATTTCTTAAATATACCGTTTTATTATCGTCTCAATGGGAAATAGTAGTGAAATAGGGGAGGGGGTTCACGTGATAAGTCACGCTTATGTACATTTAAAGTAATCGTCACAATTGAGAGAATAGAACATCACCTCTACATAATAGAATTCACTTTAAAACAATGTTAATTAAGACTGATGATTATGAAAGAATTCAGATTGGGGTTAAGCACCATAAACGCTTTCGTCGCTGTAGGCGATGTAAAGGAACTTATCAGAATCCCGATATTCCTGAAACAGAAAGAACAATAAGAGCCATTTAAAACCCAAATTCGTTACAAAGTATTAGGTTAATGCTAATAAATATTTTGCTTACTTCATACAAAGAACCCATAGTAGCGCTTGTTGGAGGAACCGTATTATCCACAAAAAAGAAAAGTCCTTGTTCGGGTTTAAGTTGGATACGCTTACGGATAAGAAAATAAAACTGACCAACAGTCAGATCGGTGGGAACAAGGTATTTATTCTTATCTAGATTCGGTACATTAGCTCTAGGTGATTTTTCAACGATCACCTGAGATGGCATAATGATGCAATTAATTAGTAAATACAATAATAAAAACTACCGGAACGCAGTTGGGGTATTTCTTGCTAATCTTCTCACCCTCCTGCAATCGATCTTCGAAACAATGTTCAGTCTTATAGGCGAATTTCATCTCTAGGCAAAATTAATGGCGGAACCCATCAGCTGACATTTCGTCTTAATCGGATCAGTAAAACCACACTAAAATAAAGCATTAATCTTTAAATATTTGTAGAAATATGGTTTTATAATTCATTTATATATTTTAACATGATACATTTTTCTATTAATTTAGCATCTTTATGCCACTGAATCGGCGCGACAATTTATATTATTAAATTCTATGAATAGTAATTTTATGTTGTTTTCCCTTGAACTGAATGATGAGCCATTTCAAAATTTTTATTGTTTTATCTCAGACTGGAAATATTGACATGAATTCCATCTATATTAAGCTTTCATTTCTAAAATGGCATTAACAAATAAACACCCACACTAATGTGACTAGATTTCAATTTATGTTCCTTTATATTTTCTTACTACGGTGTCAAGATTTAACTCACTGCGTTATATAAATCACACAGTTCATTAGAAATGCATTGCGGTTTATATTTTGTCTAAAGTGATTCAAGTTTGCATATAAAGACGATATAGTTTCAAATCAACTCCTGGAAGGTGATGACTAGTCTCTACTCTTATGATTGTAACAAATATTGCATTTTAGAATTTTGGTATTTAAGGCTTAGTTACTGTGTAGTTATAGAAGTTCGCGCTTAACATCTAAATTAAACAAGCAATATTTGCATCGAATCCGGAGTTAACAATATTTATATCAAATGGCAGGCTTTATGATAGTTATCATTAGACTTTGGCTGACTTCAAGCTTCACAGAGGGAGAGGAACATAAAATCGAAGAAAGTCGAGGGTGGGGGGGGGGAACAGAAGAGTGTTTTAAATATGTAAAAGAGACAGACACAAAGGTAAATGAAAGGAGAGGTGAGTACTGTGAAGTGGTCGAATATGACATACAGTGGAGTGATGGTAGTTAGAAGTCAACTGCCGGTTAATACGTTGCCCAGGGTGCACCACGTGGAGGTAAGTCTATCGCACACCCCCCGAAGTTAACATAAACACAGTCATCTCTTCTTATACCGAAAATGCTGATCATCTTTGCTAATATTTACCCCTCTCGTGGTTAAACTATATATTGCTTAGAGATATTCGGGCACGCAGTCTGTTTTTGTTTATCTGTCACATTACATTGCTTTGGATGCGTATGAAATACTAAATATTTGTCCCCACTTTAGTCAGTTTTTAGGGGTACTCTATATGAACAATAAAAGTATTAATTATATTAAGAATACGATTCTTCCGAAATACTCACAACTTCGGCTGCAACTGTGTTCAAATATGCTTATAACTGAATGAGAAAGTTAATAAGGCAAATAAATTTTTACATTGTCATAATGTTGAAAGAAATTATTATAATCTCACTTGATTCCTAAAAGGGCAGACTTCAGCTTGAATAATCAAAGATTTATAAATAAACAAAATTTCCTTTTCTTGTCGGTATTGTCACAGTTTGTAGTTTTTGCGTTTGAAGCCTATTATAAATCTTCCTTTAGAATTAAGTGAGTTAATGAACAGAAGTTTCGAACCTTCTAGACAATTTATTTACTCTGCAAGTTACTGAACACATTTCTATCGAGAAATAGGGAATGGAATACTCTATCGCTATGGAAGTTATTGTCATCAAGCTCAATGTAAACTTGGGCTTGGTATTTCCTTAACCACGATTCCGTACTGTTTGGTAAGGAACTCACCGTTATTGTACCTTCCAATTTTTTGGCCAACCCTCCTACCCTCCTTGCTCCACCTTATGTATATAAGAATCTTCACTCATGAATGGCAATTAAAAGTAAAATCATGTATTGATATCAAATGGCTGGCGTTCTGATAGTTATCATTAGCCCTTTAGTTGACTTCAGGCTTCACAGAGGGAGAGGAACATCAAATCGAAGAAAGTCGAGGGGGGGGGGAACAGAAGAGTGCTTCAAAGATGAAGGTAGAAAAAAGGTGAGGTGAGTGCTGTGAAAGTAGTCGAATATAACATACAATGGAGTGAGGGTAGTTTGATGTCAGAAGTCAACTGCCAGTTAATAGACTTTTTTGCCGTATGAATATACGTTGCCCAGGGTGCACCGCGTGGAGTTAAGTCTATCGCACACCCCAAAGTAAAATCATAACCTTATGACTAGTATATTTGCTTAATCTTCACAATAGATTAATAAAAGACTACCCGGGAAATGGCTCGCGTGATTTTTACTTTCAGATATAAAATTTAAAGTAAATTTTCAGGAAAATATATTTGTGTCCCTTCATACTACAAATCAACCTGCAAGTTGACAATTTTATACATTCAGCGGCTAGACACAAAAGTTTCACGAGAGCAGATTTTGTTTTTCACAGTTATGAGTCACCTCACTGTTGCCCCAAAGCAATAGTTAGTCCGGATTAACCAATATAACAGACAGAATTTACACAATTACCTTAGGTAACTTAAAGAAAATAGAGGAATAGTTGCCAACAAACCTGTTACAAACAAAGTACGCATTTTTCAATCACTTTTATCATCACCCGGCAATAATTCTAACATTCTTTCGCTTGAAAGTCATTAAAGATTAGTCATTCCTATTTTTTTCTTCAAAAGTCATTAGCGAAATGTCCACTGTTTTGTTCAGAAGCCGCTATTATTACGGTTCGTTTTAAAATTCATTTAATAAACAATAATATTATTTTTCTGCCGAAAAATTTATCAAATAGTTTTCTACCTTGATAGGGCTTGTCTAATTGTTATTTTACTCCCCTTAAACATTTCGCCTCTGAGTCGATCAGAAAAAATTTAAGTCATAGGCCGAACAGCAATGTCGCAACGTGGATTCAAACTGTTTTTGGTGACTTCGAACCTCAAATAGGAATGAAAGAGTATTCAACAGAAAAGTTGCTATTGCAATTGTAAAAGAAACAATATATTCTCTCACTATCTGCAGAGAAGTAAAATCGTAACTAAATCTATGTGGTTTCTAGGTCGCACACTGCTATTAATAACTTCAATTTCGTCTTCTGACTGAGGAATTGAGATCGAGTAATGTTCCACCTACTACAACCCCAATGATCTGGAGAATTTTACGCTCTGACATTATGCAATCAAATTTTGGGTAACATTCAATGTGTGGGTGTTTGCTGTTATTTCGTCAAACAACCTTCGTTATCGATTAAGTCGTATTTCACAAATACGTACTTGAGTAATTACGCATTGCCTCAGATTGGTTTGAATTAACTAATTAATTTCCTGAAAAAAAGGTTGTCGGCCAATTATCTAATAAGTTTTTCCAATGTTTCTACCCTTATTCATAAGATTTTCAGCTTATCTTTATCCTCAATTTTTGTACTATTCAATTTTGATAATTTAATAGTTGTGTGTTTTGAAAGAAAGAAAGAAGAACGATGATGATGATGATTTCGTCATGTTGTAAACAGCAGACAAAAGAGCTTGATGAGTGTTCGTAATTCAAGGCTGTCGTCTCAATTGCAATATGTAATTCAAGTGGTGCAGAGTAGTGTTGAGCCTAACTGCACACTTGAAGACGTGTATGCGTAATCAAACGACTATCCAATGAAGAGTGATATACTGCCAGAAAACAGCATTCAAAATCGCTACTTCGGTCACTGGAATAATAAATTGTCTTAGATTAAACGAATTTCTCGTTTTTAATTCTCCCTTTCTCTCTCAAGTGGAGGGAGAGGGGGGGATTGATAATGGAGACCGAAACTAGGATCCATCCGGATTACATGAGAGACCAATAATTGATTAATTACTATAGCATATTAGGAAGAGACTATTTACTTCCCCATGAAGATCTCTTGATGGTGAAGCTTTCAGCACATCATGAATTTCAAATACCATTTTTTTCTAGTGCAGCATTTCCGAAATGCCATTGCAGTGCATGGTCGGGTAGACACAAAGACCATTAATAAACACGATGAAAAATTCAAGGTTATGGGAGCCATGATGAGATAAGGAAACATCTGCCACATTCTTATGATTAACTCAAATTTTACACTAACTTCCATCTCATCAATGCTTTGTCAACTAACATAGAAAATCAGTTGAGTATATAGTGTAGCAGTTCAGGCTTCCATTATCATGACTGGAAGATATGAATGGTTACAGGAGTGTAAAGAAATCTTAATGCAAAAAGTAACTGCTGGTTTGGCACCCAGAGCTCGAATTCGAGAGATTTTTCTCATTTTCTACTAAATTAACACATTTTGGGGTAGATTAGAATTTGGTCTGAGCCATACCTTCATAGTTTACAGATAGGCGTAATTTGAAGGTATGTATTGTTTTGTTTATAAGACTAAGGTGAACACCCATATCGTTTTCACAATCTAGTGCGAATCAATAAACGACTTCTGTTAGTTACACACTCTGGGATTTCCTATTATAAGAACTTTTAGTGACTTGAACATCGCGTAAATTAGAACTGTTTGCCCTTATTTTCAATCCTAAATGTGTTGAAAGGGGATTTTTCATAATTATCCTGGGCAAAGAAAGAATACCCAGAACAGTCACTTCTGTTTGAAAACGTGTCTTCTGTCAGCTTCCCACTTGGCCTGAATTAATGAGTTTGATTGGTCATTTGATGATGGTCATTTAGATAAAAGTGGGCTGAAAGTTCACCTTCTCTTACATATTGTAGGCTGTCAGCAGCATGCACACCAGTTTTGGCACCCACATAAGCCAAAAAACGCCCCCCCCTTCCCCAACCCTCCAATCCAAGCCCCCTTATTTTAATCTTGGGAACGGTCATTTTTTAAAAAAGGACAAATAATTCGTGAGATAACAAAGGATGGAAATCGAGTGACATTTGAGAGCAGTGATGGTGGATTAAGTTAGCCTGCTAAAATCTTACTCCATCGGACTCTAGAATTCACCTTCCACATTGCTGACGTTTCGCAGTTTTAGAATATTCTGATAGCCCACGTGAGTGAATTAAGAATGATAATTGGAAAAAAGAATTCCAAGTCAAGGCAATTAATGGGCTTGCCAACCAATGAGAGGAAAACAAGTTTGACCACTTATTAGTATTTTTATTATTGTCCATGTCAATGCAAGATAAACACAAATTTCATTCAAGAGAAAATTTTAGACAGAGGGGGAAGTCAAACTGTTCACTTATTGATTCTCCAGGAAACAGGGGGGGGGGGCGAGGATATCGAAGTTGTGAAAACAATTTAGTTAGGGGTTCGGGTTGGACATCAATGAAAATAGACCATGAAAACCAAGTCTTCACTTTATTTGAACAACTGTACTCTTAGAAGGGATATAGTTCTCCCAGTTAGGCTACAGTGTGTAAATTTAAGAACCATTTAGTTTAATGCTGTCTTAGATCTCAGAACTTGCTTTATTTGTGTGTGTGTGCGTGTATGTGTGTGTGTGTGTGTATGGCAAGCCCCACATAAATAAGTCCTCTAAGGGGTCCAATTAGTTGGAGGTAAGCACAATGAATCCCGAACGGTGACCCACACCCCCAATTGCAAACTGCGTCCAAAGTGATGAGAAGAAGGAAGCTTGGAGGGGAGATGATTAGTGGTTATGAGTATTGTAACTAAATTTCAACAGATATAATAAGTTACTCGCAGCCTTTTGACTTTTGAAGTACAGTGGGATTGGGGTTTATCCAATCCCCTTCCTTAAGGCTGGTAACTCCATTCTGAGGGCATCCTAGAACCAATAGAAAGCTCTAATTGTGTGATACGAAATTTGTATCGTGTTACAGGAAAAGAATAGGCAGATGAGAACTACAGACCACTATTAAAATAAAATTTAAGCAAGACTCAATATAGTCCGCATAGTATTTTAACGTTACGCAAAAGAGGGTATATACTAATCTCGCGCCAAAAAAATGCGTTCATAAACACTGCAGTGTTTACATAGGGTGAAAATTAATTCTTGAAACTATTTTAAACTCCAGTAGGAAGGCTTCCTTGAAACATCATACAACTATGATCATAGACCTGGGGTGTGCGATAGACTTACCTCCACGTGGTGCACCCTGGGCAACGTATACTCATACGGCAAAAAAGTCGATTAACTGGCAGTTGACTTCTGACTTCAAAATACCATGGCTCGACTGCTTGTCATATTCGACCCCTTCCACAGTACTCATCTTACCTTTTCCCTACCTTTGTGTCTGTCTGCCTCTTTTACATCTGTGAATCGCTCTTCTGTTCCCCGCCCCTCGACTTTCTGCTACTTTATTGAACCTTCCCTCTGTGAAGCCCGAAGTCAGCTAAATGGTTAATGATAGCTATCAAAACACCTTCCATTTGAAATAAATAAATGATCATAGACCATTAAAATACGTACGAAAAAAGTTCTGGCCATTACCAATAAGCACCAATTGATTTCAGTCATCGTATACTGTAAAAAAGAACACCCATACCAATGTGTTAATTGCATAGATTCGATTTTATGGAAGCACTTGCAATCATGGAATAAGCATTCAATTGCTTCAAGACAAAAAAACACCCCTAAAGATGGTGGCCGAGGAATTTGGATATTTTGATGAGGATGTAAAATATCTCCCCACTTTTGGCCAGGTAATTCCAAGAATTTGTGCAAATATTTCAGGTGCATTGAACAGAGCCCGAGATTTTTGGGTTGGTTTGTCATGTTTGTGCAAGGAAATTGAGTTTCATAACCACTATGACTAAAATGATCACCAAACCACTTCCAACTCTATCATAGCACAGCAAGCAAGCGGTCCAATTCCCCGGGATTGAGGAACTGATGATGAAACACCACTCCCGTCATGACGTTTAGAAACGACAATATAGCAGGTATTCGGAAAATGAATATCTTGATATGCATTCGAATTTCAGTGTTTCACATTCATCGGAAGAAATTACTATCCCTTTGGTTAATTGTAGTTCTTAACCCAATCTAATGACGCTATAACCCGATTCCCCAAACCTGTGACTTCTTCTGCTCTCAAATAAGAGGGAAAAATATTGAAAATGTGCCTATTTTTTCACTTTTTTTGAAAACCGACGTCCAACCAATGCTCACACTGGATTTCACATCACCAAGTATCCAAATCATGGTGAAAAAGGGATATTGATCGTAGGAGATAAAGAGTTTTCCCAATGATAAAAATGCTACTCTTCATGGAAAACTTTTGGACAATTAGGACGAATATCAATAATATAGGCCAAGATATGCAAAAAGATAGAAATTAACAAAAAATAAGGTCTAAACACTTACCGAAGAACTTTGTCTTCAAAAGATAATTTAGAAGTGAGATTACGATTAGAATCCTCTATATCGGCTTTACATAAACACATAATTCGCAATAAATATTGCGAAATTACTACAACTTGCAAGAGGCCGCTTCAGTCCAAATTGAAAATTTATCGAGTGATTTCGAGAAGTAAATGAAACGAATATATATATATATATGCTAGCAAATCAAATTCACACAATTGACCAGACGGTTAAAAAGTGCATTACTTACACCACGTGAACGTACTTTAACCGCAGTCTAAAAAGGAGCACTTTAGTAGGAAGCACCAGGCAGAAAAGACAAAAGCAACTTGCGGTAAAAATCAATTGTATGTGCATATATGCAAACAGGATAAAATCTATAGTACAGGGAGATAGAGAAGAAAGGTATTCAAAAGAGTACAGAAGTTGACCGTTTTAGGGGAGAAACATGCAGGCATTCAGGAGAATCCGTAGAGCAATAGGACCTCTTCCTAGAATTATAGATAGAGATGGGATTAGAGAGATGCGTCACTACTGTCGGATGATTCTGTTCAAAATTCAGATGGGATTCGCTGCCTGGAACAACGGTGGTTAAATTGGTAAGACCTGAAGTCAGGGAGGAGGTCATAGACATTAACATTTCCTTCTCAAGAGAACTAATCACTAAAAAGAAGCAACAATGCTTACCACTATTAGGACTAATTATGCTTTGAGGATTGGGAAAATCGTCTTCAGGAAAAGTAGCAGGAAAAGGAGGAGGAAAAATCGGTTCTCGGGGAGGAAATTCGTCAAAAGGATCTTGATCATCAATGTCAACATCATCTGAATCGGAATCTTCACTGCCACTGCTTTCCTCATCATTATAATCGCTGGGTTCCACCCTATGAGGTTCCCAAAAAATTGAATTAATATCCTTTTCTAGTGTGGAAAGCATGGAAGTGTTATTTGTAGTTGAAGGGTAACTCTCTGAGGCTAGATAAATCGGTTGCGGAGGAGGAACCTGGACAGGTGGAGGAAGAGTTAATGGAGGAGGCTGAGGTGTTGGATACTGCCACAGAATCTGTCTAGCCTTAAATAGTGTGAACGCAATCATTAGACCCCGTTTTAATTCCAAGCCAGTACGCGACCGTTTCCCTTTATCCAATTTGCGTAGAGATGAGAGGAGGATTTGTTCAGCTGTCTCCCTAGTCTCCAATATCTGGACCGAAGAAGGTCTGAAAGTCTGAAAATGCTCAGGTGTTTGCATGAATTGTGCAGATGAATGCAACATGAGGCTTTTTGGCGTTTAATGGGAAAATATATTGACAATAATGCGGTGGCAAAACCTTGCATTCACTAACGTTTAACACACTAAGCCAATCATTCGTCTGGAAGGCTCTCAACTGTGTGCTAATTGGTGCAGCGTAAGTGCAGACGTGCGAGAACGGGTGCGTAGTATAGGCGTGCGTGCAAGCGTATGCGTCATAGCTTTCGCCTAGTGCGCGTGCGATGGCTGGCTGGCACTCACGAAATAGCGTGATAAATTTAATGCAAAACGATCTCGTGAAATTACAGGTGATTTTTAATGCTGCTGAAACCACGTGTTTTCAAGCAATAATCTACGCAATAAGGTAACTGTAACAATTATTCTGAAAACACAGAGAATTATTTGGCGAATTAATTGGCCCAAATGCATTATTGGCCACTTAGCAATACTCAAGATAATTTGGTAATTGTGAATACACTGATTACGACGTATCATATTTCACTGGAATAATCGATTCATAGTGGTTTTCTGTTTAATTGGAAAACAAGTTATTATGCGTCCAATAAATGCTTGGCTCGGGCAATTAGTAATCTTCTCGTAACGAAATGTTATCTATTATATCCATTTAATTATAAAGATAGTATATAGGATACCAATCGGATAAAGCGAACGAAGAGGAATAATAACAGAGGAAAGTGCTTTGGCAAAAGGGTATGAAGATACGGTCCACAGGGCTTGAATTTTGAAGATAATCTGATGTGAAATTTCAGTAATTCCCTAAATTCTTAGGGAAGTTAAACTATTTGTTGTTGGACATTGCAAGTCCTTTTTCAAACTGAAATAAGGATAGTGTAAGAGTACTGCTTCATTTTCGAGTTTACTTACCATCGTCGCTTTCTTGATGTTTTTATTGATTTTTACCTAGGCTATGACTTTGTTGAAGAGGTACCTGACGGCCCAAAACTAGTTTTAGTATTAGAAAGCCAGTCAGACGTCTCAGTCTCTTCCAATGAAGCGTAACCCGCATAATTTGGTATGTGTCATGTAAAATATCAGTATATTATTGAGATTACGGGAATAATAATCTGTTGAATGCGTGTAATTCGTTACCTCCTGTAATTACACTTTAAATGTTTTTATTCATTTGGCTCTTGAATTCATGCCTAAACTTATTTTTGCATTAATGGACATTCTTTCGTCAGTTGATAAAATGGCGCTATCTAAAGTCAATTCAGGGAGAAATCACCTATTATTTTTTAATCAATTGTCTTAAAGTTGCCGTCTTACTACTGAAATACTCAAATTAGTAGCTTTTAAGGTACTAATCAGTTCATAGTCTAGCTTCAAATTTGAGCCAATTTGTAAGAGGCGCATAAGTTTTTTAATGCATATTTTTTGATACGCGTGTTATTTAATCCTTTATTAAATTATTAAGTTAACAAAAATTTTTTGACTTATATTTATCATACATTTTGATAAATGTATGAATAAGTCTAGTTATCCTTAAATGGACGCTGATGTACACACTAGTCCGTCTCTACTTCTCTCTCCACCGTTCAATTTCACCTTAGCTGACCTTTGCATTCCGCGAAAGCGTACCCAACCGCCCACCTCCCCCCCCGCACCCCAATTCAACTTCTCTACAAGTGACCTAAAATTTTAAAGAGAAAAGGGGGACCGTAGAGCTGATATGAATCAGTGTTGTGTCGCCTTATTTTGATCAGGTTTGGATTAAATTGGGGTTTAATTTTGAATTAAATCTGAACATGTTCTGGTAGGTCTAATTTACACTAACTCGACAATTGAATAATTATCAGTGTGACGATAGGTGGTATAAGGTCCAATTTTTCATACTTTCCTATCAGAGAATACATCTGATTGATTTAAATTTGTAAGCGTTTTTGCTTGACGAAATTTATTTTTATTCATTTCAAATAGCAGGCTTTATGATGGTTATCATTAGTCCTTTAGTTGACTTCGGACTTCACGGAGGGGAGAAACATCAAAGTCGCAAAAGTCGAGAAGGGGAAGAGAAGAGTGATTCACAGATGTAAAAAAGTCGACAGACACAAAGGTAGAGAGTGAGGCAAAGTGAGTACTGTCGGTCATGGTAGCTTGAAGTCAGAAATCATCTGTCCGTTTATAAATTTTTTGTCACATGAGTACGAGTTGCCCAAAATGCACCACGTGGAGGCAAGTCAATCGCTCACCCCTGACGAAATAAATATCAATTCTTTTATTAACATAATTATTAACTTATGAAATAACCCAACTTTATCAAACCGCACACTACAGTAGAAAGTCTTCGTTATAACACCATGGCTTCGTACCTTCCTGGCTGAAATATCTTTTCTGTAGACTGAAAAAAACTTCCACATCTGAACACCCCGCAAAGTCAATTTTCGTCTCTCCAATTGTGAGACAATATGGTGACTCGAGAGAAAACAGAGAGTTGAAACTCACACAATTGCGTATGAACGTGCATCAAAAAGGAGCTCGATAGTTTTACGCTATTGATGGAATCGATAAGTCGCGAGCACAAAGACTGAAAGAACCCAGTTTTGATATGCTTCGGTCTAGGTTAAAAGATAGAACTATTAAACTTTCAAAAAAGGAAATAGTATCCTTGATTCTGAATTTCAATGCGGCAATACTTGTACCAAATTTCGGGTTTCAGCACTAAAACTAAAATCCATGCCAGACTTTAAGCACTCCAAACGTCAAGGGCATACTGTTTGCCATCTATCCATTTTCTAATGATGAACACAAGTTTTATGTATAGATATACTATTATAATTGGATTGAGGAGAGGGGGCGCGCTGTCGACCTACTTCCACGTGGTGCTCCCTGAGCAGTGTATACTCATACGTCAAAAAAGTCTACAAATTGGCGAGACTTCTGACTTCAAACTATCATGTCCTGAATACATGCCATATTCTATCACTTCTACAGTACTCACCCTACCTTTTTTCTACCTTTGTGTCTGTCTGTCTATCTTTTTTTCATCCGTGAATCACTCTTCTCTTCCCCCTTTTGATGTTCTTCCTCCCCTCTGTGAAGCCCGAAGTCTGCTGAAGGAATAAGAATAACCATCAGAATGCCTGCCAATTGACATAAATAAATTAATAAACTGTTATAATTGGCGCATGTAATATCAGCTTGACCAATCAATTCAAGAGACAACATTTGAGAATAGATTAGCCCTCAGTTTCGTAACCTTTATTTGTGACTGATATTTGATTAGCTTTTACTTTCTTAAAAACTAACTTATTCTACTCCTCTTCAAATATTTTTCAACAAGAGACTGAGTCCATGCCTAAAATTTAGGACTTATCAACTCCAAAATTGGAGAGGGAATATGAATTTTACAATCGAAAGGGGGTGTGCGATAGATTTACCTCCACGTGGTGCACCCTGGGCACTCATACGGCAAAAAAGTCTATTAACCGGCAGTTGACTTCTGACTTCAACCTACAATGGCCCCACTGTATGTCATATTCAACCACTTCCACAGTACTCACCTCACCTTTATTCTACCTTTGTGTATCTCTCTTATATCTTTGAAACACTCTCCTATTAACCCCCCCCCCCATCTCGACTATCAAAACGCCTGCCATTTGAAATAAATAAATAAATATACAATAGAAAGAGAATACTGAAGAGAGGATATCCCTTCCTTTTTACCATTTTGACATTCGTTTATATTAGTGAAACTGTTCTCTCTTTAGTGCATTGGTTGGCCTAGAAAGTGATTATTTAGAGGCGCCATAACTAAAGGGAAGGGAACCATGCCCAATTTAAAATGCTTTTTTTAATCGAAGTTTTAAAATTTGAAAATTCAATACATGACAGGTATGAAGTTTTCGCGACTGGAATTTTGGCCCGTTCATATTTTGATTTTTGAGGAAGTTGGTTCTCAATAATTTTATGAACCTATATCACAAATGATATACTATTAGTATTATTAATATTTGTGCTCACAAACAGTGAAATAGCAAAAAAATGTGCTCGTAAATTTATACGCATGAATAGGCAAAACAAATGAAGTAATTGGATTAGTGGTAAGTTAGAATACTTAGGCACGAGTGTTGAAATTCGTTAATAGATAACCCAATGCATCATAGGTGAAGCTTTGAAACATCGTTCAGGTGCACCGTAATTTACCTTTTCGGTTGCCAATAGCCTACCGATTACTCATGCTTCATTTGAAGAAGTTTGAACACTAATTGAACGGTTTAATTACGGACTGTACTATTGGATCAAACCCTCCACGTCTAATTAGACGCTAACAGATTAGATAGGCATATAGTTAAGATCTAATGCATTAACATCTTATTGAAACTTATTTATTTATATCAGATGGTAGGTGATTTGATAGTTATCATCAGCCCTTTAGGTGACTTCAGGCTTCACAGAACGGAGGAGTAACATCAAAGTGAAAAAGTCGAGATGGGGGGAGGTAATAGAAGAGTGTTTCAAAGATATAAGAGAGAGAGAGAGAGAGACACAAAGGTAGAATAAAGGTGAGGTGAGTACTGTGGAAGTGGTTGAATATGACATACAGTGGGGTGATGGTAGTTTGAAGTCAGAAGTCAACTGCCGGTCAATAGACTTTTTGCCGTATGAGCATACGTTGTCCAGGGTTCACCACGTGGAGGTTAGTATATCTCACTCTCCGAGTCAAATAAATCTTATTGAAACTAATGCCAAACGTTATCAAGTTATGCAAATAGCCAATTATTGATACGTGTGAACGGCATTATGCTTGATTGGGGCATATATGACCACCACAACAAAATATCCGCAATTAGCAGTAAGCTGCGAACACGGAGCTGCCACCAACATTTTAACATCATCACTAATTGAAAGCACACAGGCTCCTGGCTAAATCGTACGGTCAACTATTTTGACTAAAATGGGGTGCACGATAGACTTAAATCCATGTGATGCACCCTGGGAAACGTATACTCATACGGCAAAAAAGTCAATTAATCAGTAGTTGACTTCTCACTTCAAACAACCAT